TAATGTACTTAGAGGGGCTGGAAAGAGTTTGATTTTCTTTTTAACTCAGTAAAGATGAAAATAGCAAACATGTACCAAAAGTTCACTATACCCTTGGTACTGAAAGTACATCCGGTATAGTAATTAATGGAATCCGTATAAAATGGTATTGCTCCTAAGACTATCCCTGTTTTACGGATGAGGGAACTGAGGATGGGAGGTTAAAAAAGTGGGAGGAAGTGACCAAGCTAGTGAGCAGAGAGCTGGAATGCAGGCTGAGGGCTATGTCCAAGTTCCATACTCTCGGGCCTCCCCAGCTAGGTGTGCAGGGGACAACGGCGAGGATTCAGTAGAGGTGTAGAGGTCACACAATTGAAACTACTAGTGGATCCAAACCTATGAGTTCCACTGGATGGGAAATAAGATGACCCCCTTCTTCTTCTTCTTCTCCTTCACCCCCATTTTCCTTTGGCAAAGCTGATGCCTGAATAAAGGATACAATGATTTCCAGATGTTGTTTGGCAATGACACGTGGTTTCTGAACAAACAAGTCAGTGGCTCTTCTTGAGACTTATGTAGCAAGTGATGCCTAAACAAGCAAATAAACCAAAAGTGCTAAGAGTAAAGACACGCAATTTCTGTGTCCAAACATAGCCTTTCTGTATTGGGGGCTGACAATGAGAATGGGTGATAAGCAAGTAAGAGAAGGAATAGACTGTCGTCCAGGTGTGATGAAAGGTGCAAAAAGATTGTTTTTCACAGACAGTGTGGGGTAGGGAGACATAGGGATTGAGTTAGATCAGTGGTTATCAAGCATCAGTTAACCTTCATGTGCCACTGTTACTGTTGACTTCATATTATAAAGCAACTAACTTGTTTAACCTAAGCATCATTATAAGAAATACATAAATATATATATATGCAATTGCAGATTTGTTAATAATTATTTTTTCTAATACATATATACATATGAACACATGTACATATATGTAACCATTAACATTTTTTTAAGTTTATCACTGTTACCTAAAATCATTGCATGTACCATCAGTGGTTGAAGTATCATACTTTGGGACACTGAACTAAAATTAAGAGATGCTAATCTTGTCCTGTCCATGTAAAAACATAAATTTGCAAGAATTTGCAAGAAAATAGGAAAAATAAGATTTGCACGTGAGAGAGGAGTAGAATGCTTAGGGCTGAGAGAGAGCCTAAGACGAAGGTGGAAAAATAGTGTTATGTAGAGGGTCACATCAGAACGGGGTGAAAAGGACAGGTGAAAGGCCTGGAGTCGCTGACAGCCTCTGTGCCCCAGAGCCCGGGCCTCCTAGAGACTAGGGAGGTACAGCCAACTACCCAGTACCAGGGAATAACCAAAGACTCGGGTCATTACCCGGGTTCACACCAGAGTCAACTGCCGAACGAAGGTGGTTATTTTTTTCTTTTCCCGAGGAGGTATGTATCTTTTTTAAAACAAACAAATAAACACCTTCTTTAGCACTTGTGTTGTGAAGCAAATATTGCTCTCTGTTCACTTTTTCATTCTGTCTCTAAAACTATGTTTGTTACTTAGGAAACAGCAATAAGCCCATGTTTTGACTGAACGTAGTAGCATCCTAATTATCAAGGGTTGGGAGCCTACTGCAGTGGTGATGTATGAAATACTGTGATATAAAAATCATAGAATATAACATTTTAAGAAAAGAAAATGTGGAAATCAAAGGCTTCTTCACTTAAAAATATTTATTGAGATGCATATAATTAGTTGAAAAGAACAACAGTATTAATGACTCTAAAGCAGGTTTTTAAAATAAAGCCTTAAAATAATCAGTTGAACCATATGAAATTGCCAATATTTGCTGGTTTTGATCTGCAGATAAGAATTGCGTAGCAGTCCATCTACATACACTCTTTGGCTAACAGGTTAACAGTGTTCACTTCGGAAGAGAGGGCTGAGATCAAGGAAGAAAGGGAAACATTTCACTTTGTACATGTTTGAATTATTATTTTAAACTGGGGACTTGAGGGGAATATATTCATATATTCCTTGGTTTCGTAACAGAAAACAATCACAACTAGCTTTTCACAAATGGACTACATTAGAAAATAGACATTTCTAAATGACATTGCCTACAAGGCAAATTTATTTTAATCACTGTGATAGCAAACGGGGTATACCAATTGGCATAGAAGGAGCCTCCTGCTTCAGCTATCTTGGGAGGCTTCATTCTGGAGGGTTGCTGGGCGCTGATGGGGTCCTGCTGCAAGTGGCCATGCTGGTCAAGGGCAGTTGCCAGCTAGACACCAAGTGACTTCAGTGCATGTCTTACTAAAGGAATCCATCTCCTCTTTTTATCTTCCTGAAGAGATTGGGGTCACATGACATACATGTATGTGGCTGCAAACACTCAACTCCCTTCTCATGTGCACATTCTTGTATTTATATTTTCTTGCAAATTCTTGTAAATTCAAGTTTTTCCATGGACAGGGCAAACTACTTTTAGTTTGCAATCATGGCAACTATAGAAATAAATTAAGCTTAAAGTTTGTATTTTAATTATAAACTTGGATTTAATAAAGGCCTGCGATGTAAAGAAGTGTTCTCTGCAAATATTTTAGGTATAAAGAAACATTTCTATATTTTGACTTGAGATTCTACTATGTTCTAACTCTGGGTTGCAAATTTATAAAATCATAAAACTAAGCAATAAATTCTTCAAGGAAAGCATAATAGGAATCATTATACTATAATGAGGCAGATGTCCCTATATGGTACTTTTTTTTTCAGGACCGATGAATGAGACATATTTATTCCTTAAAGTAAGTGATGTTTGCCCTAACTGGTTTGGCTCAGTGGATAGAACATCGGCCTGAGAACTGAAGGGGCCCAGGTTCGATTCTGGTCAAGGGCTTGTACCTTGGTTGTGGGCACATCCCCAGTGGGAGGTGTGTAGGAGGCAGCTGATCCGTGTTTCTCTCTCATCGATGTTTCTAGCTCTCTATCCCTCTCCTTTCATCTCCATAAAAAATCAATAAAATATATATATATTTTTAAAAGTAAGTGATGTCTGGCAAACTCCAGGTACAAAGTCTTGCAGATTTACATATGATCAATAGTCTAATGAGATGAGATGTTTGCTGACCTGTGGATTACTAAGGGACATCTTAAAGGGGGGGGGGGCAGGGAGTTGGGACACTGTCAGCAGCTCAAGAGCAAGGATCTCTAAAGGAAACTCGGATTTTCTAGGCTTTCCCATGGGCTAAGCGGAATACATTGTTTAGCCCTGCACTAGAGCAACACCTTTATTAATTATGCAAACTTTTTTTTGGATGGGTGAAAGAATTTGAGAATGACTCAGCAAGAGGTTTCAAAACCAAATACCTCCACCAGCTCATTGAACATGCTCTTTTCAAACCTGCTCTCTGCTCTGTGACCTCCAGGGTAGGAGTTTGAGATCTGCCTAAGGGAGGCTGCTTCTCTCCCCAGTCAGTTCTGCCTCATCCTCCCACCCTTTTATTTTCAGTTTAAGTTGGAAATAGTTGATACTTCTTCAAGATTAGCCTCTAATTTTTCTTCAACCAACATAACACCCGGTCAAATCCCCTAACCAAAGACCTGGTCTACCTGTCAAAGGCGTGTGCGTGTGTGCGGTTACCTTCCTGTTTCCCTTTAGATGAACCTGTATGTTGCTGGTAGCTGGTGAAAGGGGGGGAACGTTAAAGGTTAAATTAACATGTAAAGGCAGCGGAAGTGTTTTTAGAAGTCCCCACTGAAGTGACAGTTCAAGATTTAGTTGGAAAAGGAAAGGCTCTCCATCCCATCCCTTGGGTATTCAGGAGACTTCTCACCTATTTTGGAAACGACTTGCAGATGTGGGCAAACCTCTGCGTTGCTCACACCGGGGGTTTTGCGGAGCTTGCCTCTGATTTTTTTTTTTTTCTTCCCAATTTCCCACAGTCTGTGTTTGTCTTGCGTCTGCTAGGCTGACATGCGGTTTACCTCGCCGGTCCTGCTGCCAGGTTTTACACACTCTGCTCCGGTGTAAAACAACTCAAGCCCAAGGATCCTGAGCCACTCCGGGCATGGGCGCCAGAACTGTCAGAGAAAATTTGCTTCCCGAGTATTCCCACCAACTTCCCTTCCTGCGCCCACGGGAGCCAGAGCGCCAGCCCGTCAGCAAGGTCTTCACGTTTCCTGCGGCTGCAATCTGTAACTTGACTTTGAATGTGTTTTTTTCTTCTAATTGTAGTTTTGAGGATCTTGGTTCTTAGCAAAAGTTTTTGGTTAGGGGGATTTTTAAACTGTTTCCTTACCTAAGTCACGGAGGCTCCGACACTTTTCCTCCATTCCTGGGTTGGACTGAAGTTAATGGGCAGCGAAGGAAAGAAACACACTGGCTGTTTATTTGGGGGAGGGGAAGTGGAGATTCGCAGCTAAGTTATGATCCCTCGCATCCCTCCACCCCCCCGGTTTGACACTCAAGACCGACACGTACATCATCTGTTAATTGCTGTTCGCGGACGCAGATACATATTATATACATTTTTTTTATCTTCAGTGAAATAGAAATGGAATATTCAGCGCGCTCGCGTCTGTTTGTTTGTCTAAGGCTATCAAAAGAAGTCACCGAGGAGGCTGTGGCCCGGATCCTGACCCTGATTGTATGAATAAGTAAGCAGGATGCAAGTGATTGGGTTAGATGCGGCGAAGATTTTTTTTTTTTCAAGTTAGGAAGAGGGTGAAAAGACAGCCTGGGGGGGTGTGGGGGGAGAAGGCAAACATTGCATCTCCCAATCCTCATACTTTGGCTCGTCCTTGCAGTCAGTTGCTTTGCTGGCTTCAGCAGGCTTTTAAGGTCTCGAGGCGTAGACATGCCTGCCCCCCACCCCCTTCCTCGGTCTC